AATCTGATCGGTAAAACTTTGTGAACATAGAGGAGGACTTCGAGAGGCCGGGGCAGAGGTCGTGGTCATGGTAGGGGTCAAGAACGTGGAAATTCTCGAGGGAGCAATTCTAAAGCGTTTACCAGCAATGGACGCCAAAATCAGTTTCCCAAGGCTGTCACAAGAGGTAGAGGTCCCAGAAGATATGAGGTTGCCGTGAGAAATGGCAATCAATCGCCTTCTGTTCAAACCAAACAGTGAGTCCTTAGTTTCTTGTTTTCTCTCTAGTCAAAACACAAAGGCTCTTTCACTAATTTTAGTCTCTCCTCGGCTGAATCTGTAGGTCGCAAAATTCTTTTGTGAAAGTGTCACAAGTTGATTCAGGGCGTGCACCAACAGAAACAGCTAGCACAGAGACTGAAACCATCCAAGCCAAAAAGAATGTAGTTGCTTCAAGTTTAAATTCAGCTTCTCCTCCATTCTATCCTTCAGGATCCTCCAATAACTTGGCACGAAAAGATTTACAAGCTGGCATGGGTAGACTGCACATTAATGAAAACCCTACGCCGACTGGAAAGAAGTTTGGGAATACAAAATCCAACGCTTCTTGGGTACGCAATACCCAACCTTCACAGACTACAAGTCGAGGTAGAGGTGCACCTCCCCATGGGCAAGTGCTTTACCAGCAATCGCTTAATCAAGGTGAGAAAGTTTCTTCGCCTATGCAAGTCCGAGGAATGCCAAAAGGCACTGACCAAAGCTTTACTCAACCTCCTGGTCAAACTTTTGATCAACATTCGGCTGTTATCAGTTTACTGCCTTCTTCTCCACCGCAAACCGGCTCATCAAAAAATCAGTATCTTTCTGGTGAAATAGAGCCAGCTACAGAAACAGGTGTCTTGGTTGCCAAGGGAAAAGGGACTCTCCAGCCTAGTGGAAGTGGATCTTTTATGTATGGAGCGACACAATTCATGTCAGCTGGTCATAGCAATCCAAATTTTCCCGCTTATCTGCCTGGTAAGCTCTTGATTTTCACTGTTTCATTGGAATGGTTAAATGAACAACATCTTCCTGCTAATATACATGTCTCACTAA